TGAGTCGAGTGGTGGTGCCCGAGACCTTGCTGAACCACAGCGTGCTCCCTGCTGATTTCTGAGGGTGTGCATTGGTGTTTACGACTTGACATTTTGTAACCTGCTTCGTGAAAATGCGGTAGGAAGACGGATGTGTCGGCTACATTAAGAACAGTTGTCAAGGGGTGTGGCCGTCTGCCCTGTATTGATCTGTGCATATCATCTCCAGGGTTCTGGGAGGGTTCAGAAAGCCGTGGGGAAGCCAGAGGTCAGAGTCCAGCTGTCAGCTCAGCTCGTGGGCACTTCCTGGGCCAGCCCCCGGGGCCCTTCCTCCTCTAAATCCGGGGCTCTTTCTGCTTCAGTGAGAGGCACACCCCTCCTCCCCCACCTGTGGATGTTTGGGGCCATGGTCCCGCGGCCCCACCTGTCGGAAGTGCGGAAAGAAACTGGGTGGAGTTATGTAAACGTTGCTCAGCACACCCTGATTCTCACGGGAACGGCTGCCCCGGGAGCCAGTCCCGGCCTGTCTGCTCACGCAGAGGCTTTGGCTCGCTCTGCCTCCATCTTGAATCACGTTTGTGTTGGGAGCAATCTTTAAGGACAGCTCTGAGGGGCCGTCGTGTGCAGACTCTCCAGCATGGGCCTGGGGCTGGAGACCCCCGCCGCAAGGCGCTTCCTGTCTCCCGCGTTGCCCACGCCGCTCTCCCGCCTGCGTCTTTCCCTCGCCTGTGCCCTCACCCCAAGTAGCAACCTGGGGCATCTGGCCCCTTCCCGCTTGACCCTCTGCTCGCACGTGGCCTCCCTGCCGCAGTCAGGCCGGTGCTGCCCTCTGCTTGGCGTGTGACGGCCCAGATGACGGCCGTTGTCACCAGTGCAGGTGGTGTGTGGCCCACGGGGCAGCAGCAGGAACTATGGACCCTCTGTTGAGCGTGGCTGGGCGCCGAGGCTGGGCTGAGTGTGGGCAGGAGGTGCTGACCGGTGGGGAGGGTGCTCTGTGTCCTGCTTCCTCCTGCTTGCCGAGCCTGCCGCCTGCACACGTGGCTCCGGCCCGTGCCTCCAGGAGGGTGGAGGATCGGACAGGCGTCTGCTGGGAGCCCGGATGCAGGCTGTGCGGTGGCTCCTGGTGCCTGCGGGAAGGCGGCAGTGTCTCTTCTTTCCATCGTCCACCCAGAGTCACGCTGCCGGCAGGACATGCCCTCCCCGACCACGGCACCGCCGGCGCCGCCCGTGCCGCCCAGCCCGCCCAGCCCCTCACCGCCGCCCAAGCCCGAGAGCCCCTCCGTGTCCAGGTACAACGTGAGTGACGGCAACGCGACTTGCCTGCTGGCCAGCATGGGGCTGCAGCTGAACCTCACCTACGTGCACAGAGACAACGCGGTAGGAACACGGGTCTCCCAGCGCATGCCGGGGCCTGCTTCGGGGGGGGGGGGGCAGCCTCCAACCTGCTCTGAAGCAGCCCCTGGTAGAGCGGCCCATCTCCCTCACGCACACACGTGTGGACTGACCTCCCGGTGACACAGTGCAGGGCCCTGGGGAGCCTGCTGGCCTGAGGTCCGGGGCTGTGGCTGCTGGAGGGACAGGTAGGTGACTCCCCGGAAGTGTGCAGCAGGTGCTGCGGTGTTCCTGGCTTTGGTTAAAATGACTGTGGACTGGCAGGGACAGTGTCACGACCGCTTTGTTTCTTCAAGAGTGAGGGGCTCAGAAGTGCTAACTTGGGGTTTCCTTCTTCAGACCGTGACCAGAGTGTTCAACATCAACCCGAACAAGACCAAGCCCAGCGGGCACTGCGGCGCCCAGCAGGTGACCCTGGAGCTGCAGAGTGAGAGGAGCACCGTGCTGGTCTTCCAGTTCGGGATGGTGAGCTCGGGCACCTGCCGTCCCCACCCTCTCGGAGGCCCAGGGCTGCTGAGCCACGTCCACGCACCACGGCGAACGTGGGCAGAGCCCCGGCGGTCATAGCTCTGCCTCAGGGAGGGGAGACTGTGGCTTCTGCCCTGCACGTGTCTGGCGTCTCCCGGGCCCCTCAGTTCCCACCTTCTTGGGAACTCTGGACCCTCCCGGGAGGGCCTCCTGTATGCTCCGCAGTGGGAGCTGGGCTCCCGAGAGGAGGGGCAGTGCAGGGCTGGCGGAGGCAGTGGCTGTGCGTCCTGCACTTTGTGCCTGGGGGAGCCACGTGCAGAGAGAGCGCGTGGACTTTGCCGTGCGAAGGGACTGATGAACGGGCGGCCCTTGGCGGGGGTTTTGGCCTCCCGGTGCCACTCAGGCTGGGATTGCCAGCCCTGGCTGATGGGCACAGTCCGTTTCTCTTCACGGTGAGTCCAGCACGTGACTGGGCTGTCTTCTCCCTTTTAAGAACGCGAGTTCTGGCCAGTACTTCCTGCAAGGAGTCCTTCTGAACACAACTCTTCCTGATGCCAGGGGTGAGAGTCGCCCTTCTCCCCGCCTGCCCGGGCGGGGGCGGGGCCAGGCCGGGCCGGGGCGGGGCCGGGGTAACAGCCTCCACTGCGCCTTGCAGAGCCCGCCTTCTCGGCCAGCAACAGCTCGCTGAGGGCGCTGCAGGCCACGCTGGGCAACTCCTACAAGTGCAACTCCGAGGAGCATGTCCGCGTCACGCCCGCCTTCTCCCTCAGCATCTTCAAGGTGTGGGTCCAGGCTTTCCAGGTCAAAGGTGACAAGTTCGGGTCTGGTGAGTAGCCGGGACAGCGTGGGCAGGGCTGTTGGCGTGTCTGTGCTGGGTGGAGAGGTTTGGGCTCCCCCGCTGCTGGTGAGCAGGGTCGGCGCCTTGGTTTCTGAGGTGGGAAAAGGCGCCACGCGATGGCCGGGTGGGGTGGGGTGGCGTGGGGTCAGCGGTGACGCCTTTGTCCCCGCAGTGGAGGAGTGCCTGCTGGACCAGGACAGCATGCTGATCCCCATCGCCGTGGGCGGCGCCCTGGCCGGCCTGGTGCTCGTAGTGCTCATCGCCTACCTCATCGGCAGGAAGCGGAGCCACGCCGGCTACCAGACCATCTAGCGCATCCGGCCGGCGCCGCCCGCCCCGCGGCCGCTCCCCGAGCCCGGGCGGGCGTGCAGGGGCGCGCTTCCCAGCCAGCTGTCCACCTCTGCTTCAGCGGGCGAGGCCCGCCCCGCGGCCCGCCGCACGGAGGCGCGGCCGCGGAGAGGAGCTGTTCATTTTGCTAACCGGGTTCCACATGTTGCTAACTGGTTAAACGTCCCTATTTACCACAGTAGAGCTCTGCGGGGCCCTGGGAGGCAGGGGCGCTCCGGCCGCCGGGGTCCCGCTCGTTCGGCTTCTTCAGATTCTGGTGTTGGTTTCCTCGTTCCTTCCTCGGATGAAAGCCTCGTAAAGGGAAAGCAGCTCTGGTCAGCACGGGGCCGCCGGGGCCCTGCCGCCTCCTGCGCAAGAGCGGGCGGTCTTTCATTGACTTTCTTGTGAAGTGGTTTCCAGCCCTGGTTTGGCGTTGGGGTGACCCTGTTCTGTGCTGTGTGTGACACCAGGCTCACTGCTGATTGTGTGCTGGGGACCGGCCCGCGTGCAGCGGCTGCCTGTAACAGTGCTAATAAAAAGGCCCTCTTTGTGAGGACCCCGTGCTTGTGTCGCTGTGGGCCGGGGTTGGGGGACAGCTCTGGGTAGCAGCTCCAGACCTCAGACCGGGACAGTCAACGGCCAGTTCCGTGGGTTCTGCAGCCAGCACCCCTTGTGCCATGAGGAACAAGGCGGGCCAGCGTGCGAGCTCCCTCAGCCCTGACCCCTGGGAGACCTCGGCTCCCAGAGCAGCAGCCTCAGACACAGCCCTGTTCATAAAGGCAGGCCTGGGCTCTGCAGACGCCCCGTTTGAAGAGGCAGCCCCTGCCCTGGTCCCGAGGTGGGCAGCAGGAGCAAACCCCCTGGCCTCAGGGTCTGGCCTGTGGGTGTGGCCGAGGACGGCCTGCCAGGTGGCCCTGGGCTCTCATTCTCCGACCTGCACCCCAGCACCCTGTCCCAGGATCTGCCCTGCACACAGACCTGCAGGTGGGCTCCAAGCCCCATAAAACTCGGGGAGAACCATAGGGGTGCAGGGAGCCATGGGAGCTGAGCCAGGAGCAGGGTGGGGTCTCCACCAGCTGAGGCTTAGACATCACCCCTGGGCTGAAGAGGGAGGGTATCCTGAGGCCGGGACGGAGGCAGGAAGTGCGGGCTTCGCAGCATCTAGTGTGGAGAGCAAAGGCCTCTGGGGCCCCCATAAGCCCCTGGGGAGATGAGGCTCGGGTGGCCGCTGGTGCGAGGGTGTTGGGATGGCTAGGCCGGGGGGGGGGGCTCCCCAGGCGTGCACATCAGTCACGTGTGTGCTGTGAACATGTTAGCACCAGGCGGCCTCGGTCCCTGAACAGGTACACAAGTCAGACCCTGGGACGTGACCGCATCTTGGGCCTGGTCCAGCCTGCCTTCCTCAGAGTCCCCCAGGCTGCGGGGCCCTCTGCCTACGAACGCCGGGTTCCCTGGAGGAGCCAGCCGCCCCTGGGGGCCGCCAGAGTCCTGGCAGACCACCACCTAGAAAGAAACGGCCTTCAAGGAACCGAGGGGTTTGCCGGGAGCTCAGCCCCGCCCGTCCCCAGGTGTGCTGCACCTGTGCCCCTGGCCCGGGACCAGGCCTGTGAGGCCCATTGTGAGTCTTGCCTTCCACGCTGACCTGGGCCCCTCCGTGCACCTTGCACACACGGAAGGCAGCAGAGTGCTGGGTCGACACCAGTCCCACCAGAGGACAGTGCCCTGTTCGCGTATTTGAAAGGCACAGGGACAGGAGGAGAGAGCGAGCGTCCATCCACTGGGTACTCCCAGCCCGGCTGGCCAGACCAAAGCCAGGAGCCAGGAACTCCATCGGGGGCTCCCATGTGGATGCAGGGGCCCAACTCCGGGCCGCCTTCCACTGCTTTCCGAGGCATGTGAGCAGGAGGCTGGATCGGAAGTGGAGCAGGGGACTGGCACCAGGCACCAGCCTGCCCCGTGGTTGCACTGCAGTCACTCCCAGTGGGTGACCACGAAGGCACAGGCGTTGAGATGCTTTATTAGCAAACACCTCATTGTACATCATCCCTAATGTCTGATGACAGCAGGCTTTCCTCACAAGCGTGACGGGCGGGGCCGTTTACACGCCGTAAGAATCCACAGCAAGTGCGGTGCTCAGTCCAGCGCCTGTGGGTGGGCTCAGCCCTGGGCCAGCAGCGCGGCCCTGCAGGTCTCACGCAGCTTGGTGATGGTCGTCATGGGCAGGCTCCCAGGCTCCGAAAACACCTTCTGGGGAGAGACGGGGCTGTTGGAAAGGGGCACACGCGGGCCCCAGCTGTCCGTCAGGGCTCGACCAGGCCCCAGGCTGCCGCCACCGTCCCGTGGCCAGGTAGCTCTGACACTGGGTACGTCAGGTGAGCAGCCCCTCAGCCCCCCACGGGCGCTCAGACCACCAGCCTCTGACACGCGTGAGCCCTGGGACAGCCCCGCCCGCTGGGACACCGCAGACTCACCTGCATGAACGCATGGCACTCGGTCACAAAAGGGCCCCGCGTGATCTGCTTGAACTTGTCACAGATGTCTGGCGCACTGGCGGCTTCCAGGATCAGAGCCTGGTGCTGCTTGATCAAGGTCAGGGCCACACGGAAGATGATCTTGGAGCCCTCGTTAAACAGGCAGTCCCAGATCCGCAGCACGGTCTGCAGGGGACGCACCCGGTCAGGCCACGGCGGCCACTCACCTCCACGGGCAGGATGTCCACCGACAGGCAGTCCCAGGTCCACAGCACGGTCTGCGGGGGACGCACCCAGACAGGCCACGGCGGCCACTCACCTCCACGGGCAGGATGTCCACAAACAGGCAGATGAACCAGCGGGACACGAGCAGCGTCCACATCACGCCGTGCCCGTCCATGAGGGCCGCCACGGCCGGCAGCTTCATCCTGACCAGCTCTGCGAGCACCTGCTGGTCAGTCTTGAGGCCCAGCATCTCAGGGCTATAGTAATCTGCACAGGAGTGGGAAAGGAGCCGGAGTCAGGCTGCCCGTCCCCCGAGGAGGACTCAAGGGGGGACGGCCGGGGGTCAGGGTGGTTGTAACCTGCAGGCGAGCCCGGGTTCCAGTCCCATCCGGCTCCCTGCTGATACACCCGGGAAGGCGGTGGAGGATGATCCAGGCACTTGGGCCCCTGCCACCCAAGTGGGAGACCAGGATGGAGTTCTTGGCTTCAGCCTGGCCCAGACCTGGCTGCTGGACCATTTGGAGATGAACCAGCAGATGGAAGATGTCTCTGTGACTCTGTCACTTTGCCTTTCAAATAAATCTTAAAGAATTAGAAGGAGGGGTTCTGGCGCTATGGTGTAGTACGTCTCCACCTGCAGCACTGGAATCCCATACGGATGCTGGTTTGAGTCCCAGCTGCTCCACTTCCAACCCAGCTCTCTGCTGTGGCCTGGGAAAGCAGTGGAGGATGGCTCAGGTCCTTGGCCCCTGCATCCACGTGGGAGACCCAGGTCCTGGCTCCTGGCTTCGCATCAGCCCAGCTCCAGCCCTTGCAGCCATTTGGGGAGTGAACAACAGGTGGAAGACTTTTCTGTTTTTCTGTCTCCCTCTCTGTAACTCCACCTCTCAAAAAAAAAAAAAAAAAAAAAAAAAAAAAAAAACAACACACCTTAAAACAGAAACCTAGGTCACAAACAAGTCTGCAGGCAGAAACAGACCTTGGCCAGACGTGTGGTGTGGTGGTCATCGCTTAGACCCCTGCACCCTGTGTCGGAGGGTCTGGGCTAAGTCCTGGCTTCCTTACTGCCCACCTGGCTCCCTGCGTGTGTGTCCTGGGAGGCTGCGGGTGATGGGTTGGGTACTTGGGTTCCTGCCACCCACTTGGGAGACCTGTATGGGGTTCCAAGCTCCTGGCTTTGGCTTGGCTCAGCCGTGGCTGTTGCAGGGATGTGGGGAGTGAACCAGCACATAGAAGTGTGCTCGCTTGCTCTCTAAGTGAAAAATAAATAAATACAAGCAAGCACCCATGCTCACGGCAGTGTTGCCACAACAGCTGGAGGTGCCCGCCGGGGATGGACAGCAGGCCAGAGTGGTCCCCTGGAGGGGTTCTGATACCTGCCAGCACCCGTGAGGTGGCAGACGCAGGAAGCACCGGCATGGGGGCCCGAGTCAGAAATGGCTGGCGGCTGCCGTGGGCCCCACACTGTCTAGTGGGGGCAGTTTCCGCTGGGGAAGACGAGGAAGTCCAGAGATGAGTGGCTCTAGAAACAGATGCACGCTCAGACTGACGGACACGTGTGTGTCCATCTCCCTGGGCACGGGCCTCTGCCTCTCCAGCTTGTTACTGCGACGCGGTGAATGTCCACATGTGGTCTGTGCCAGAGGAGACCCGGCAAGTGGTCCACACCCCTGACCTCGCCGTGAACCCACAGACCGGGCCACGGCACAGCCTCAGGCAAGGGGTGGCTGAGGAAGCTCACGTCCGGCCAGGGGCCACTGAGAGCCACAAAAGCCACCTCAGCCACAAAGGAGCAAGCGCTGAACAATCCTCCCCTTTCCTCCTCCACCCAGCCAGGGAGGCGAGGGGCGGTCAGCATTGACCCCCAGACCCCACGTGGCGCCGGAGAGGAGGCCAGCGCCAGGAATCCCGGCCAAGGCCCAGCGTGACCTTGGCCAGGTCAGAGCAGCTTCCAGAAATAGAGGCGCTTACCTCCCGCCCGGGGCACCACAGCTGAGCCGGTGCCGGGATTACCTTAAGCCGGGCAGCTCCTGCCACGCCTCCTGGACAGCAAGGACAGCCCCCGGCTGGCCACGCACAGAGGTGCCTCCAGCTCCCGGTCAGGGCCACTCACAGGCTGCCTGATGCCTCCAGAAAGTGGCCCTGGCCTGTCCTTGCCCCCCTGGGGACACCGGCACCTTTGCCAGTCCCTCACACACCCCTCATCAGGGATCCAGGTGCCCCATTCCGTCCCACCCCAGCCCTTGGTGTCGGCACCTCCTAGCTTCCTTTTGTACCGGACACACGTGTTCCCGCTCATGCACTCACACGGGCCGGCTGGTGAGCGCCCAGGTGCCCAGCACACACCCGCACAGGCTGCCCACCCCCGGGTCCCCACCGTCGCGAGCCGCCTGTGACCGCACTGGAGACGGAGGGGCTGTGGCCTTGGCATCTTTGGGCCTGCAAACCCTGCTGGCCGTGTGCAGGCTGGGGCCACGGGCGACAGGCGATCCCAGCCCAGTCCCTAGGCCACCCACACTGGGGATCCAGGGTGGCCGGCCACAGGGGAGGGCTCAGGGCCGCGACTGCCTCAGGGAACCGCCTGGGCGCTGGGCCCGCACTCCCGCCCTGGAGCACCGCCGATCTTTGTAACTCCAGGCCAGCAGCCTGTCTCTCCAACGTCATTGTCGATTCTTACGTAATCGTATTTTCATACCTCTGAGGGGTGTTCGGTCCTGGGCCGCCTGCCTTGTTCTCAGGGATTTGAAGTTTCGCCCTCTCACGTTGGAGTCTCTGACCCACGGGCGGGGCTCGGAGCAGCGACCTCGATTCTGCCACCGGCTCTCGCCCGTCTGCCCCAATGCTGCCCTGTGAGCACCGTGGCACCCTGGCTGCCTGGCTTTGCTCTGCCTGGACTTCTCCCGGGATGGAGCCATCGCTGCATTCCAGGGGTGACTGTGTGGACAGACTCGGCAGCCAGCCTGTCGGTTCGGTCACCCTGGCTCAGCCTGCGTGCGCCGGGTGTCCGCGCACCCGGAGTTGGTCAGCAGCTGTCTCTCCTCTCTCCTGCAGGACTTGCTGGAAACAGAGGAGCTGTCTGCTCCAAGGCTTGGGGAGGCGTGGAAATCTGTGTGCCACAGGGCAGCTCTGTTAGGTTGTGTTTTCCCAAAACACCCGCGTGACAGAGAGACAGGTGTGTCAGGAGCCACCTCTTCTGTCCTCAGCGCTGTGGCCACTGCGCTTCTGCAGCGAGACCAGCTCCGCACGTGCCTTGTGTAGTTAAGGGCAGGGTAACCGCGGCACTGACATGGGCCTGGGCAGGCAGGGCGTCGGTGAGAGCTGAGGAGCCGGGCAGGGGCGGCCAGCACCCAGGGGTGTGCACCACCCCGGCCCTGTCACCCTCCGTGCCAAATCAACACGGCTGGCGCTTGGCACACCGCTCCCATCATGCAGCTCAGCCGGCAGACCCCACGACACCTGCCTGAGAGCAGGACCTGGCTGAGCCCGCCCTGGCCCCGGCCCCGGCCGAGTCCACAGGGCCTTCTGTAACGCGGCTTTCGATCCAAGACCTGCCTCTCTCACACACGCACACGCACACACACACGTGAGCCCAGCTGACCCCTCACACGCACACACACACCTGTGACCCACCTGACCCCTCACACACACACACACACACACACACACACACCTGTGACCCCCTGACCCTTAAGTCATACACGCACAAATATGTGTGACCCCACCTGACCTCTCATACACACACACAGACACACACACACCCCTGTGGCCCCACCTGACCCCTCACACACGCACACAGACATGTGAGGCCAGCTGACCCCTCAGTCACACATGCACACACACGTGAGACCCCACTTGACCCCTCACACATGCACACACATGTGAAGTCGCCTGATCTCTCACACACACATGTGAGGCCCCCGACCTCTCATACACGCACACACACACACACCTATGACACTACCTGACCTCTCACGCACACACACACCTGTGACCCCCACCTGACCTCTCTCACACACACACACCTGTGACCTCACCTGACCCCTCACACATGCACACACACACACACACACATGAGATCGCCTCCCCTCACACATGCACACACACACACGTGAGGTCACCTGACCTCTCACACATGCACACACACACCTGTGTCCCCGCCTGCCCCCGCAGTCCCACACACGCACACGTGTGAGGTCACACTGGCTCCCAGAGTTGAGTCCACACGAACGTCAGGGAGGTCCCAACGCCTCCACGGAGCAGAGCCCACAGGGGACCACAGGGCTGAAGGGCCGTTTTCAGTGCAGCCGTGAAACGCCCGAGCCGAGGCGAGCCAACTCCGTGCTGGGGGCTTTCAGCCCTCAGCCCAGGTGCAGCCTCCGGGGAGGGGGGTCTCAGGGCCCGAGCCGAGGCGAGCCAGCTCCATGCTGGGGGCTTCCAGCCCCGCAGCCCAGGTGCAGCCTCTGGGGAGGGGGGTCTCAGGGCCCGAGCCGAGGCGAGCCAGCTCCATGCTGGGGGCTTCCAGCCCTCAGCCCAGGTGCAGCCTTGGAGGGGGTCTCAGGGCCCGAGCCGAGGCGAGCCAGCTCCGTGCTGGGGGCTTCCAGCCCTCAGCCCAGGTGCAGCCTTGGAGGGGGTCTCAGGGCCCGAGCCGAGGTGAGCCAGCTCCGTGCTGGGGGCTTCCAGCCCCGCAGCCCAGGTGCAGCCTTGGAGGGGGTCTCAGGGCCTGAGCCGAGGTGAGCCAGCTCCGTGCTGGGGGCTTCCAGCCCTCAGCCCAGGTGCAGCCTTGGAGGGGGTCTCAGGGCCCGAGCCGAGGTGAGCCAGCTCCGTGCTGGGGGCTTCCAGCCCCGCAGCCCAGGTGCAGCCTCCCGGGGAGCGAGGAGGACAACTTGCTCCAGCGGGAGTATGGGGCCCCCAGGACCTCAGTGCCTCTGAGTGCAGGGCCCACGTTGAGCCCCGTCACCCACGGACAGGCCTCAGCACACAGACCCGGGGCAAACACGACCACAGCCGACACCAAGCCTGAGTCGGCGCCCACCGGTTAGGACCGCCTCTCCGCTAAGCCGACGGTGAGAACTTGCACTCAGCTCCCAGACAGCCCTGCACTTGGCAGCAACAGCCACAGCCGAAGCATGGCGGGCACACGGCGGGTACAAGGTGGGCACATGGCGGGCACACGTACCGGGCAGTATTCTTCCAACAAGCGCGTCCAATAGCCAGAAAGATTCTTCCTCGTTCTTCGTGATAAGGATCAAATAGCCTGCGATAAAGTTCATCCCCTGAAATTGGAAAAATGGGAGGCGCGAACGCAGAGTCGCGGGGCCGCTCGCCGCTGGGGCCCTCCTCTGCTCTTCCCCGCGGAACCCGGGAGACGGGAAAGGCTGTGTTCCAGTGCGAATCCAGAGAGCGAGGCGTGGCTCAGGGAGGCCCCGCCCCCTGGGGGGGCACTGAAATCAAGGCTCACCACCGCCTTCTAGAAAGCTCAGTCCGACTGCCTACCGCAGGGCCACCACAGAACCCACGCCTGGACAGAACCGCGGGAGCGCGACTCGTGCTGGAGACTGGGTGGGGGCTCCCAGTGCACAGGGGGCCGAGGGTGGGAGTTGCCAGAAACTGCGAGAAGCGCCTGGACCTTTCGATCCTGCACTCTGTTAGATTTATGCCCTTTTGTGCTTTGATTTGCTGGTGTTATTGCAAATGGTCCTTATAGGAAATGATGTATTTATTTGAAAGGCAGGGCAACAGAGAGAGGAGAGAGACCACTCCCATCTTTTTTTTTTTTTTTTTTTTTTTTGACAGGCAGAGTGGACAGTGAGAGAGAGAGACAGAGAGAAAGGTCTTCCTTTGCCGTTGGTTCACCCTCCAATGGCCGGCGCACCGCGCTGATCCGATGGCAGGAGCCAGGAGCCAGGAGCCAGGTGCTTCTCCTGGTCTCCCATGGGGTGCAGAGCCCAAGCACCTGGGCCATCCTCCACTGCACTCCCTGGCCACAGCAGAGAGCTGGCCTGGAAGAGGGGCAACCGGGACAGAATCCGGCGCCCCAACCGGGACTAGAACCCGGTGTGCCGGCGCCGCAAGGCGGAGGATTAGCCTAGTGAGCCGCGGCGCCGGCCGACCACTCCCATCTAATGCCTGCAACAGCCAGGGCTGGGCCAGGCCAAAGTCGGGAGCCTGGCGCTCCCTCTGGGTCACCCACGGGGGTGGCAGCAACCCCAGCACTTGAGCCGTCACTGCCGCCTCCCAGGCGTAGGTGAGCGGGCGCTGGACAGGAGCCAGGCACTCCAGCGCCTTGGTGCCTGCCCCTAGGCTACTGCTAAACCCGCTCCTCCTCCCCTCCGGAAGCTCCCAGCGCTGCTGCTCACGGTACCCGGGCCCCGGCCTCCAGGAGCTCATGATGCCCAGCGCAGGGGAGGCCCCCTCTGCTCCCGGTGACAGCCAGGGACAGCCAGCTCGGGCTCCTGCTGTGTGCCGTGCCGGGCGAGGCCAGGCACGGGCCACCCACCCAGCCCAGGGCAAGCTCAGCGAAGGGACCTGACCCGGGCCCTGGCTCTGCTGGCCTGCAGGTAGGAACGCTGCACACGGCCAGCCCTGCTGATGCACACGGCACTGAAACAGTGGGCGTGGCCTCCAGGACACACCGTCCCCACAGCACACGGGCAGTCCACAGCGGGGCGTGTCTGCTCTGTGTCCCGTCACCCCCCTCCTCCAGACTCCCACCCTCACCCGTCTACACCCGCTGCTGCCCTGGCGAGGCCTGGTGGCAGGGAGTATACGGCCCGGGCTGACACTCACCTGGCAGTAGCCCACACCCTGGTTGTGGCGCCCGTACGCCAGCAGCACGTTGTACAGGGCCTGCTGCAGGCAGGGCTCCGCGCTCTTCCGGAACCTCACGTTGTCCGGGAAGGTCCGGTTCAGATCTGCTCAGGAATCACAGCAAAGGGCACTCAGGACCCTCTCCAGGCCCCATCCCGGGGTCTCAGCCGTGGTCCCCACCCTGCTGCCCTTGAGTCCCCGAGAAAGGCCCGGCCGCTGCCCTGGGTACACCGCAGATGACCAGGGAGGACGGGGCCGGCCTGGGTGCTGGCTCCCAGCCAGCCTTCTGCTCGGGACCAGGGCTCCTGCGGGCCCAGGCGGCTGCTGACCCGGCTCCCCGCCCCCTCCTCACTGGCCACTGCCCCCCAGGGCCAGGGTCGGCAGGGCAGTAAGCCCGGCCTCCAGCTCGCGGGGCCCCGCCCGTCTCTGCCAGGCAGCCTGTTCTGGAATTCTCAACATGCCCGACACCGGCGTCCGTCAGGAGGACGCGCACGCCTGTTACCCAGCAGTCCCCGAGGCTTTGGCCTCTGCCTGGGGAGGAGGGAGGCCCACACCTGCAGCCCCCCAGGGCAGTCAGGGTCACGGGCTGCAGCAGCGTCCCGCAGGAAGACGAAATCGTCAGAAAGCACGTGTCCAGAACACACTAGGGGCCTCCTCGGGCCTCGGCCTCCCGGGGCCGTCCGCTGTCCCCGACCACGGCCCGCGCTGGGGCAGCCGCTTCCTCAACCTCTCAGTTCTCTAAAGCAGTAGGGCTTTCAAAAATCCCACATTTTGTATTTAATTTAAATTTCCCCAAGACCATGAAAATCAGAAAAGCAGATTATTTGCCAAAAAAGCTACGAGTTCAGGTGAAACTGTCGTGGTGTTTGCTCCTCGCAGTGCCCACGCCCAGGAGAAAGCAGCCGGGCCGGGCGGGGCGGGGACACTAGGACACGGCAGCAGGGGTGCTGGCTGCGGGTGGGGTGCGTGTCCCGCTTCCCCTCGGTCTCCGGGGGCCGCTGTTCAGGGGCCGCCTTGAGAAATCAGTGTGCTCACCACCAGGTTCGCTCCTGGCTGCCCAGAGACCGCGTTCCCCCGGGATTCTCCCGCGCCTACCACCAGTCTCCCCCCAGCCCGGGACTCTCGGCACCCCACGCCCGGGCCAGCGCACGCTCCCACCTGTCCGGATGGCCTCCTGCAGGCCGGGGTTGCCGCCTCCCTGGACAAGGCGCTGGTAGTAGCCAGGGTTCCGGTCCATCTGGGCCTGGGCTCCGCTCACGGCCATCCAGACGTGGGCGCGGTGCTGCAGCGGGACCCCCTTCCTGACATAGCGCTTCACTGCAAGACACGGCAGACGCGGGCGGCAGCTGTAGCAGCCCCTCACTCCCAGACCCCTGGCTGCCACTCCACACGCACACACATGCATGCACACATGCACATGTATGTGCACATGCGCACACGTGTACACACACCCAGGCACACAGAGAAAGATCCCACCCCTCACTCCCAGACCCCTGGCTGCCACTCCTCACGCACACATCAGATCAGAACCTCGTCCATCGCTACCCAAACTGATGCATGCGCTCCACAAACCCTGCCTTCCTGCCCAGGACCCAGCACAGTCAGACAGCACCCGGCCCACCCAGGACCTAGAACAGCCAGACAGCACCAGGCCTACCCAGGACCCAGCACAGCCAGAGAGCGCCTGGCCCACCCAGGACCCAGCACAGTCAGACAGCACCCAGCCCACCCAAGACCCAGCACAGTCAGACAGCACCCAGGACCTAGAACAGCCAGACAGCACCTGGCCCACCCAGGACCCAGCACAGTCAGACAGCACCTGGCCCACCCAGGACCCAGCACAGTCAGACAGCACCCAGGACCTAGAACAGCCAGACAGCACCCGGCCCACCCAGGACCCAGCACAGCCAGACAGCACCTGGCCCACCTAGGACCCAGCACAGTCAGACAGCGTCTGGCCCACACAGGATCCAGCACAGTCAGACAGCACCTGGCCCACCCAGGACCCAGTACAGTCAGACAGCGCCCGGCCCACCCAGGACCTAGAACAATCAGATAGCACCTGGCCCACCCAGGACCCAGCACAGTCAGACAGCACCTCGCCCACCCAGAACCCAGCACAGTCGGACAGTACCCGGCCCACCCAAGACCCAGCACAGTCAGAGAGCACCCAGCTCACCCAGAACCTAGCACAGTCAGAGAGCACCCAGCCCACCCAGGACCCAGCACAGTCAGACAGCGCCCAGCTCACTCAGGACCCAGCACAGTCAGACAGCACTTGGCGCACGAAGAACCTAGCACAGTCAGTGCCCAGCCCACCCAGAACAACAAGGCAGGGGTGGTCCGATCTCAGGACAGTGATAGAAAGAAAGGACCGGCCGCAGTCACTGGCATTTCTGCAAACTAACGAGTAACTGGAAGCCAAAGACTCCGAGACGGTTCCAGGGCGGGCACTGTGGGGCAGCAGGCTAGCCGCTGCCTGGAATGCCCACCCTGCATCGGGCCAGCTCTGCCTCTGCCCCACTTCACGCTGCTGGCCTTAGGAAGGCTGACGATGGCCCACGTTCTCGGGTTCCTGCCTCCAGGGGAGACACGGATGAGACAACAGGTGCTGGCTCACACTGGCTGCTGCAGGCATCTGGGGCGTGAACCAGTGGACGGAAGGTTCCTCTCTGCTCTGCCCTGCCTGTCAAATGAATCCTTAACAATCAACAAAACAGCATCATTTACAACACCACCAAGAACTCAAAGGACAAATCAATCTAACAACATCTGCAGAACCCGAGCGCTGAACTCTGCACAAGAAGTCAGAGGAGACGGCAGGTTCTCAGTGGCAGGCTCCCCCCAAGACTCGGCTCTTCCCGAACTGACTACGACGCCCTGCCGTGGCCACAGGGCCCCAGCTTCACCTAGAAACCAGAAAGGACCAAATCCACTAGAAGAGAGGCCACAGCAGTGGCTCCGCCTGATGTCAAGGCGTGTCATGAAGCCACAGTGCTAAAGGAAACGTGGCGACGGGCAGCCCTCAGGCAGGAATAAGGGGGAGTAATAAAGAACCCCGACACAGACCACACCCAGATCAGCCGCTCTGACACCGTGGCAGGGAAAGGTGTGTGCGCAGCAGGGAGGGGCCAGGAGGAAGACAGCCTCACACAGAGCCAAGGCGCCCGGGCCTCGGAACACGACGTGCAACTCCCTTCTTGCCGAACACACACCAGCACCCGGCCCAGAACCCCCTCCACAGCGTCTGCCCAAGAGAAATGAAAACTAAGCTCACACAAAAACCAGGGCGTGAACATGCATGACGCCGGCCTAAACTGGACATCACAGTGCACCCTGGTCAGCAGTGCCGGTCCGGCGATCGCAGGCACCAGCTCCGACACCTACAACCCTGAGCCCCTGCCTCGGGGCCGCCCCAGGGACACTCCTACAAACTTACTTGGTTTATTTACTGGAGAGACAGGGAAAGAGCAAGCGCAGGGCAATGGAGCACTCCCGTCTGCTGGGTCACTCCAGGGCCAAGGCCAGGAGCCTGGAACTCCACCCAGGGCTCCCACACGGAGCCCAGGGGCTATCCTGGGTACCTGGGTACTGGCCATCCTCTGCTGCCTTCGCAGGCGCATCAGCAGGGAGCTGGGTTGGAAGCGGAGCAGCCGGGACTCGAGCCGGCATAGCAGGCTTCACTTGCTGCCCACAACATGGGTGCTGGGCTTTCAGTGTCTGTCTGTGAGAATATGTGTCTGCGATGCAATTCCCGTTTGCATGGTTTAGTTTGATTTCTAAGGAACAGAGGAGACATGAGAGAAGCCACACTTGCTATAGAAGAGAGAATTTAGGGTTCACGGGGCCCAAGAAGAAGCAGAAAACACCACCTTAGGAAGCTGTCTCCCAAGACACCAAACGCCAAGCCTGGACCCCATTCTGTCACTAGGGGGCATTAAGACAGAAAGGACACCGGAAAACCCTCCCCCTCAAAGCAGGGGAAAAGCCAGTGAGACCCCAAACACCCTTAGGGGGCTAAGGGGCTGGTCCTGCAGGCCCCTCCCAGCAGCTCTGCCCCCAGCATTGAGGACCCCAGGGCCACACCCCAGATGCTGAGTCATGCATGCGCCCAGGACCGGGTCACCGTACCAAAATGACAGCCGGACTCACCCCCACATCCAAGGGCAAACGAACATGCTGCAGCTTCAATAAAACCCAGCTTACACTCTGGGAAGGAGCCGACAAGCCACATGCTCAGGTAAAGCAAAAACCAGCTGCTGAGTTTGGCCTGCGGGCGGGGGTGAGAACCTGGGAGGAGTCGGCCCCAACCACCCTGGCTGGAAACCGGAGACCCACCCTCACCCCAGAAAAGCAGAGATGGGGGCCTGCGCCACGGTGTGGTAGGTAAAGCCTCCATCTGCAGCGCCGGCATCCCATACGGATGCCAATTCGACTCCCAGCTGCTCCACTTCCAATCCAGCTCCCTGCTGTGGCCTGGGAAAGCAGTAGAAGATGGCCCAAGTCCTTGGACCCCTGCACCCATGTGGGAGAGCCGGAAGAAGCTCCTGGCTTCAGATCAGCCTAACTCTGGCTGTTGTGGTCATTTGGGGACTGAAACAGCAGATGGAAGACCTCTCTGCCTCTCCAATAAATAATCTTTAAAAAGAAAAAAAAGAAAGAAAAGAGACGGGACAGAACGAGAGGATGGAACTGAGGAGCAGTGGCTGTGTGCGTCTGTCACGTGAAGACAGCAGGCTGGTGCACAGGGCTGACCCCAGCTCTCAGTGACCTGGAGCTGCCCCAGACATGGCCCCGCTCATGGCTGCAAGACGGGCGGCCTTCTGCACCCGCCGCAGGACCTGGGTGCACCTGTGTGCACATCCTGCAGCTGAGTACAGTGCTGACCGTGTGCGCAGCTGGCTCGCTCGGGGCCAGCGCCGTGGAGCGGCAGGTTGAGCCGCTACTTGCCGCGTTGGCTTCCCACCTCCCAGATACTCCGTTTCTCCGCTTCCATTCCAGCTTTGGGCTAATGCGTCCGGGAAGGCAGCAGGTGACAGCCCAAGTACTCGGTCGGGTCTCTGCCACCCACATGGGAGACAGATGGGGTTCCCTGGCTCCTGGCTTTGCTCCCATCTGGGGAGTGAACCAGCAGATGGACGGTCTCTCTCTCTCTCTCAGGTCCTCCTTGTCACTCTGCCAGCCCAGCTCCTGCCTCTGCTGCCCTGCAGTCCACCATGGACAGCGCAGAGGATGGGCCGCCTCCCCCACCCTTCCTTCCAACCAGGCAGCATTTCCCAGGACCTGTCTTGGACCACCACTCTGGACCCCCACTAACCTCCCAGGACCTCCATGGACCACCACTCTGGACCCCCACTAACCTCCCAGGGCCCACATGGACCACCACTCTGGACCCCCACTAACCTCCCAGGACCTCCATGGACCACCACTCTAGACCCCCACTAACCTCCCAGGGCCTCCATGGACCACCACTCTAGACCCCCACTAACCTCCCAGGACCTCCATGGACCACCACTCTAGACCCCCACTAACCTCCCAGGGCCCACATGGACCGCAACTCTAGACACCCCACTAACCTCCTCAAGTCCTTTAGTCGCCACCTCCCTCTGCTGGCTTCTGGCTGACCACACAGTTCCAGCCCCAGGCCCTGGTGCGGGGTCCCCATGTCATCTCCTATGCTCCCCCACATCTGGTCCGGGCTGCCCCTCTCACTGGGAGCCCCAACACCCCACTCTGCCCCCCGAGCCCGTCCTGTCTCTGCAGCCACTGCTTCGGCCAACACTGGAGTCCTGTTCCACCGAGCACTGCTCCAGGTACTGAGGGTCTGGCGGCCGGAGCAGGTAGGGTGCTGATCCCAAGCAGAAGAGAACCCAGGGGGACCTGTGCCGCTGGCACAGCGCTGAGAAAGGCAGGCAGGGAACGGCGGGCGCCTGGGAGCAGCCGGCTGGTGGACCCCCTCAAGAGGGGAGGGGTCCCATGCTTCCCTTTAGGGCTGGCACGGATCAGGCGCGACCCAGAGGGGTGAGGGGGACAGAGGAGGGGCGGCAGGCCGAGGTGGGTCCTGCGAGGGTGGTTTTGTCCCAGGCCCGATCCGGTCCAGACAAGGAAGACGCTGCTTTCCTCGGACCCGCGGCGACCCTGGCCTTCGAGCCTCCTCCTGCCGGCAGGGTGGGCCCCGGGCTCCTCTTGCCCGCCCAGCGCTGCGCGTGGCCGGGGAGCTGCGCCCACCTGTGCCGCTCCTGCGGACGCCGCGGCTGCGCCGGAGCAGCCGGGACCACTTGGCCGCCCTCCTGGTGAGAACCACGAGGTAGGAGGAGAAGAACTCCTCGTAGGCGGCGTAGTCGAAGTCCTCCGGCCTCTCGAATCCGTACGGGTCAATCCTGCGCGGCAAGGGGCAGGGGCGGCTGCGGGTCAACTTAGCACGCGCACCGCGCTCTGCGTGCACCTGCGTTCCGCGCGCGTCGTGGGGAGGACGCGGGCCCGCGAAGGGCCCCGCACGCAGGAGGGGCCGAGCTGGGGACCCTACGCTGGCGGGAGCGTCCGGACCCCCGCGCCCCTACCATCGCCACCCACCTGGGACCCTGGACACCCCCTACCCACCTGGGCACCCGGGCGCGCGCGTCCTGCAAGCACTCGGTCGGCTCCATCGGGAGGGGGGCCAGGGCCCCGCCCGGAGCCGCAAGGACCGCGGAGCCGGGACAGCGGGTCCCAAGTCCGCGCACGGAGCCAGGGACGCGTCCTTCCGGTGGAGCGGGACGGGGGCGGGGCTGGCGCCGGGTGGAGAGCCGGGTGTGGGGGTGGGTGACTTGGGAAGGGGCGGGGAACGCCGGAGCGGGAGGGACCCGACAGGGGCGGGGCGGGGCGGGGGTGGGGCCAATAGGGAGCAGGGGGAGGGGACCTCTGGAGGGGCAGGGGACGCGGAGCGGGGAGGGCTGGAGGAGAGGCGGGGCGCGGGGAGCCGGGCTCGCAGTCCCGGCTGCACCTGCTGCTGCGCCCCGGGGGGGCCGGCGCCGGGAAGCTGGGGAGGTCTGGCTCCTCGCGCCCCTCCGACCCTCGCGCCTTGACACCTGCCATCTGACGCCTGCTTTTAAGTTTTTATGCAGCAAATGAGGGGCTCTTGTTTTCGCTGGCCCCCGCATCTCAGGCCAGAGAACGAACCACCGATGAGGAGCCGCGGCCCCGCGCCTGCCTCGGGTGGCCCCCAGCTGCCCCGGCCTGAGTCTCTCCTTGGCCCGAGGACCTCACTGTTGCTCCGGAAATTTGCCAGGACCCGGTGGGCCTGACCGCCCCGCCCCCACCGCAGGGGGGCTGGATGGCTTTGCCCGCGTTCCTGCAGCTGTGTGTCCAGCCTTGGGAACCAACGTGTCGGGCAGTAAGAGTGAGTCAGGGTCCAAAGTTGAGGGTGCGCCCTGGCCTTCCTCTGCCAGCGGGTAGACTCCAGTCTGTCTGGGTCTAAGGGAACACTGGGCGTGAGTCTCTAGGGCGAGAGCTTGGCCCTGCTGGAGACATCCGGGTAAAGGCCACAGCGGTGCGCATGAATGTAAGGCTGCAGCCAGGGGTTCTGCCGGGAACTTCTCATCAGCGCTCTCGGCGCAGAGGGAAGGTGACTGCTCCTCGGACGGACACAGACGGGCACCCTGAGCTAGCCACGGGACAGTGGCACTGCCCCCTGGAGTTGATGAGTGGAGCGCCACAGCATCAGTGTCAGTGTAGGAACCAGTGTCAGTGCTGGGGTGGGTGTTACTGCTGGTAGCAGTATTAGTACTGGTAGCAGTATTAGTACTAGTGTCAGCGTTAGTGTTAGTGTCAGTACTAGCATCAGTGTTAGTGCAGGAACCAGTGTTAATGCTGGGGTGGGTGTTAGTGTCAGCGTTAGTGCTGGTAGCAGTATTAGTACTGGTAGCAGTATTAGTACTAGTGTCAGTACTAGTGTCAGCGTTAGTGTTAGTGTCAGTACTAGCATCAGCGTTAGTGCTGGAACCAGTGTTAGTGCTGGAACCAGTGTTAGTACTGGCCTCAGTGTTAGTATTGGTAGCAGTATTAGTACTAGTGTCAGCGTTAGTGCTGGTACCAGTATTAGTGCTGGTCTTGTCGTTAGTACCAGTGCCACTATTAGTGATGCATTAGTGCTGGTGTCCTATTAGTGATTGTATCAGTTCTTGTCACCAGCTGAGCAGGGAGCATTGCCACCCACAGTTTACAACCAATCATCAAGGAAAATCCAACACTGGGTTAATACTGGCACACAGGCCCTGGGGGTGACGGGGTTAACACTGGCACACAGAACCTGGGGGTGATGGGGTTAACACTGGCATACAGGGCCCTGGGGGTGATGGTGTTAACACTGGCACACAGACCCTGGGGTGATGGGGTTAACACTGGCACACAGACCCTGGGGGTGATGGGGTTAGCACTGGCACACAGGCCCTGGGGATGACGGGGTTAACACTGGGTACACAGGGCCCTGGGGGTGACTGTGTTAACACTGGCACACAGACCCTGGGGGTGACGGGGTTAACACTGGGCACAGGCTCTGGGGGTGACGGGGTTAACACTGGGTACACAGGCCCTGGGGTGATGATGTTAACATGGTACACAGACCCTGGGGGTGACGGGGTTAACACTGGCACACAGACCCTGGAGGTGACGGGGTTAACATTGGCGCACATGCCCTGGGGGTGATGGGGTTAACACTGGGCACAGGGCCCTTGGGGTGATGGGGTTAACACTGGGCACAGGGCCCTGGGCATGATGGTGTTAACACTGGCACACAGGCCCTGGGGGTGACGGGGTTAACACTGGCACACAGACCCTGGGGGTGACGGAGTTAACACTGGGCACAGGCTCTGGGGGTGACGGGGTTAACACTGGGTACACAGGCCCTGGGGGTGATGATGTTAACATGGTACACAGGCCCTGGGGGTGACGGGGTTAACACTGGCACACAGGCCCTGGGGGTGATGGGCTTAACACTGGCACACAGACCCTGGGGTGATGGGGTTAACATTGGCACACAGAACCTGGGGGTGATGGGGTTAACACTGGGCACAGGCCCTGGGGGTGACGGGGTTAACACTGGGCACAGACCCTGGGGGTGACGGGGTTAACACTGGCACACAGACCCTGGGGAAGATGGTGTTAACACTGGCACACAGGCCCTGGGGTGATGGGGTTAACACTGGCACACAGACCCTGGGGGTGATGGGGTTAGCACTGGCACACAGGCCCTGGGGGTGACGGGGTTAACACTGGGCACAGGCTCTGGGGGTGACGGGGTTAACACTGGGTACACAGGCCCTGGGGGTGATGATGTTAACATGGTACACAGACCCTGGGGGTGACAGGGTTAACACTGGGCACAGGGCCCTGGGGGTGATGGGGTTAACACTGGGCTCAGGGCCCTGTGGGTGATTGGGTTAACACTGGGCACAGGGCCCTGGGGTGCCTGGCCCTGCAGACTGAAGTGTCCACCACTCTGCCCACCCCCGGCCCTGCCTTTTCCTTTCCTTTCTGTGCCGTGAAGAACCAGTTCCAGCCTTCCTCTCATTTTCCCCCTCAACACTGTCTCTTTCTGGAGCAAAACCAAAATCAGCCAAATCCACAGAGGCAGGTGGCTGCTGGGTGGTTGCCAGGGCAGCAAACAACCGGTGAGAATTTGGCCGCCTGGGTGTGAGGGGCAGTGGGCACCAGGTGCGTCGTCAGTGGCTGCACCAAGGCCATTCTGGCACTGTGGTCTGGGCAGGCTCCCGCGGTCAGGGACACAGGTGGCTGGGCTGGCGCTAGCCCGGGGCCAAGCCAGAGGACCAGACCTCAGGAGGGGCCCTGCTCGGGAGCCCCCAGAACTGCTCCTCAGGATGTCTGCCCCTGCTCAGAGGGGATGCAAGTCCAGGGCCCCCCAGCCAAAGGCTGGGCTGTGAGGGTCTGTGCTTGGCCCAGAGGATGAGGGACTCACCCGTTTTCACCCAGCCTTGAGGGCGGGGGACACTGGCAGTGCCAATTCCTGGAACAAGAATGAGGGAAGTTACTTTACCTCTCTCTGTTTCCCAGGGTCCCAGGGTCCTGGCCAAGCTCCGCAGTGGCGCTTTCCAGTACTAGCAGTAGTACTAACACCAGCACCAGTACCACACTGGTGCTGATACTAATAGTGACACTAGTGCTCACAGTACAGCAACACTAGCACTAGTACTGATGGGAGTCCTAACACTGACATGAGTACTGACTCCAGTACGAGGAACAATACTGATGTAACCACTAATAGGTGCTAGTACTGATGTTGATACCGTCACTAACAGTGATGCTAACACTGACACTGATGCTAGTACTAACACCGACACTAGCACTAACACTGACACTTGTGCTAATACTGCTACCACCAGTCACACCAGCACCAGTACCACACCGGTGCTGATACTAATAGTGACACTAGTGCTCACAGTACAGCAACACTAGCACTAGTACTGATGGGAGTCCTAACACTGACACTAGCACTGACTCCAGTATGAGGAATGATACTGATGTAACCACTAATAGGTGCTAGTACTGATGTTGATACTATCACTAACAGTGATGCTAACACCGACACTGGACTAACCCCGACACTAGCACTGACTCCAGTACGAGGAATGATGCTGACTGAGGCCCAGTGCTCTGCTGGGCAGCCTGCATGGTCTGGGAGTTGCAGCCCGAACCACCCTTTCAGGTCTGTTGGGTGAGGGGGACTTAATGAGCCCGTGGGAGGTAGAACAGTGCAGAGGAATGGTCAGGGGTTGGGGACACCCAAGGGAACAGTGTGGTTTTGAGAGGCGCCCTGTACCCCCCCCGAACGTCTGTGCAGTGGCTAAGAGACTGGGCAGGACGTCCGCTTTCCACGCTGGAGCGCCTGGTTCATGTCCTGCCTCTGGCCTCTGACTCCTGCTCCTGCCATAGCTGAGCCTCCTGTCTCCACTGTGGGGACCCAGACGGGGACCCCACTGAGCCCCAGGGCTGTGAGCATCTGGGGAGTGAGCCAGTAATGGGGGTGCGCGCTCTCTCCCCGCCACAGCACAGCACATCCTGGGGCCCTCCAGCCTCCCACCGTGTCCTGCCCTCTGGGGAGACCCAGGCTGGGCACAGAGACAGTAGATGGTCCATGTGGGCAGGCACACAGGGAGCCCTCCCCAGTCACCCACAGTCCTGGCCACGGGTGGCTCGGCTCAGCCAAAGGTGAATGTGGGCGGTGGGAGGGCGTGGCTGGCCGGTGCCCACGTGGTTTCCTTCGTGGCGGAGCACAAGGACTGGCCTCCAGCCAAAGGTGGGGAGCACCTCTGCGCTGGGGATCCAGCCCTCGAAGGCAAGCGTCGGGTCTGGGATGGGCAGCGCTCCTCGGGCTGGCCCAGGGGCAGTCTGGACATCTGCGGTCTGGTCCTGCCGCCTTGTCCTGCAGCTCAGAGTCTTGACGGTGGGACATTTTGCTCTGTGGACACTGTGGGCAGTTATGACTTTTGCTTTGGGAGGAAATGCTGAGATCATAAAATCTTTATAAAGATTTTAGCAAAGATGCTAGCGTGCAATGCGGCACTGTGTAAACACTGCAAGAAGTTCTGAGCAAGTGTCCCAAGGAGGAGGGCGAGGGAGCCAGGTCTCTGGGCAGCAGGGGTGTGCCTGTGCCTTGATGGACAGCCCCGAGTCTGCCCTGCAGAGCCTGGGGGGCGGGGCAGGGACCTCGAACCCTGCGCTGAGTGTGGGTCAGTGCCAGGGCCGGGTGGCTTAGCCAGAGGGTGTTCTCA